TCCCGAAGTCTTCGTTCTACCGCCGAAAAAGTTTGTCTGTGGGGAACTTGACGATTTGGATATCTCTCATTATACGCTCTTGTTGCCGCAGCACAGTTTTTGCGACATTCAAAATACACTTGTAGCATGTCCACATATTCATCATTAGTAAAATTTGGCATAATTCTTGTTAATTTACACCCAAAAAGTATTTAGCTGATAACAGTGACAACTTACAGAAGAGTTAATTGTGACAACTGGCATGACAGCAGCACACTTAGTTTTTCTTTGATTGATTGCAATCATATACGGTGTGAGGTGAATGGTAATACATTTTATTTTTTTATTAATAAACGAAAAGTTTTAAAGGAAAATTGCTAGAGAGGTAAAAGTTTCTAAAAGAACCAGTTTATCTAATGCGTATTTTTGGATATCGAGTTTTTACGAAATATAAAAGTTATGGCAAAAAATGGCTTGAGGGGTGGTTATTTCAACCCCTTTCGAGGGGTTAAAATTTTCGAAAAATAGTTGAAAACTCGCATCTGTATTAGTAAACAACCTGTAAAAAATTTGTTATTTGTACCTCGTTCGGTTTTCAAATTACAGCCAATTTTCATAATTTTTTTTGGAAACTTTGATGGCCCATATCTCTTCAGGGGTGAACATTTTACTAAGGCGATTTTTTGCAGATCGTGTTCTTTTGAAATGTAGATTCACTGGTGTCATTTATGCTACTCCATTCAAAAACACCCTGTATATGTAGCTGATACGCTGTTTGAAAAATTAGGACATCGTTACTTTGACACCCTGTATTCGTCTTAATTTAACTTTTGGACAGAGGTAACTGTAGCTAAATTGGAATAATTCAATGTCTAAAATACACTCTTATTCTGTGACGCATTAATTTGGAAATGCATACCATTTATTTGCATATTATTACCGATCTTAAAAATCTTTCCTTAAGTTTTGTACACTTCCCTGCAGAGCACCCGGTATTATAGCACGGGCATATTTCTATAACACGTAGGTAACTACAATTTTACAATTAGACGCGACAGACACCGTCCTCATCGCTGATAACGTAGCGTAGGTGTCGCCCCCTGGTAATAAAAACTGAGAAGAGAAAAGCGTTTCGAAATGTCAGCTCCGTGGGGCGTATTGTGTTTGTTTACATGCCAGTTATTCTACAAATTTGAACGATGTCTTCCTATAGGAGATGTTATTGTGCCGTAGGGCGCAAAAATAATGAGCGAAGTATTCGAGACGTGCGATTCTCAAGTGTTCTCGGGGAAAAAACGTGAGACTGAAGGAAGGAAAGGACGAATTATGTGTGCCGTCTAATGGGTGGAAGTGTGTCGAACATGCAGTGGGAAGTAACTGAATTCGATGAACGGAGTGATTCAAATTCAATGGGAAATTACTTAAGAAAAAGCACTGTTTTTTGGATTAATATCCCTTTAAATCGGAATTTTCGTCAACTTGCCTGAATTTTTGATATGAGTTACTTTGAGGTATACAATAACAATAAGCGGCAGTAATTTTTTTCTTTCACCCCCGGCCAGGGCGCAAAAAAATAAATAAAATAAAGTGCAGTTTTAAGATAACCCAAATGGGGTAAGAGCTAGAAAAAAGTTCATTATAAAAGTTGTAGAGCACAAAATTTTATATAAAAATGAATTATTGACTTTTTCTTCTATTATCTGTTGAAGTCGCTACCAAGTACCATTTTTCTAATTAGACAACTAAAACCCGTAGTTAGTCAGAACACTCTAATTTCCACCTATTTTGCTCTGTTTCACTCCCGCTTGTGTTACTCGGTCGCATTGTGGGGAAATTCTAGTCAGTCGCACAAAATCTTCTGCATACAAAAAAAGTAATTAGAGTGATAGCCAATTTAAGTAGCAGACAGCATTGCCAACAGTACTTCATTGCTTTAGGCATTTTACCTTTGCCATGCCTATACATTTATTTTACACTTATTCAAATACATAAGTATATTGACAACTTTCATCATCAGTCAGATATACATAAGTATAACACAAGAGGCTGTAATACAATTAGAGTGGACTGCTACCGACTTAAAAAATCAAAATGTAATTCACTGTTTTTATATAGTACAGGCTTTTAATAATACTCATTATGAGTAAGGATATGTATGTGTATGTGCTGTAGGGTATGTTTGTGAGTAGTTAATGTTGATAATATTGTATTGTTGTTTTTATACTATTATTGTTGTTGTTGTATTAGAAGTAAATATTTTGTACACTTGACTTGCCATAAATGTATGACAATATATAAAATGGTCAATTATACACTATCTATCTATCTGTCTGTCTGTCTGTCCGTCTGTCTGTCTGTCCGTCTGTCTGTCTGTCTGTCCGTCTGTCCGTCCGTCCGTCCGTCCGTCCCTCCGTCCCTCCATCCATCCATTCATCCATCCATCCGTCCATCCGTCCATCCGTCCATCCGTCCATCCGTCTATCCGTCTATCCGTCTATCCGTCTATCCGTCTATCCGTCTATCCGTCTATCCGTCTATCCGTCTATCCGTCTATCCGTCTATCCGTCTGTCCGTCCGTCCGTCTGTCCGTCTGTCCGTCTGTCCGTCCGTCCGTCGTTCGGTCCGTCCGTCCGTCCGTCCGTCCGTCCGTCCGTCCGTCCGTCTGTCTCTCTGTCTGTCTCTCTGTCTATCTATCTATCTATCTATCTATCTATCTATCTATCTATCTATCTATCTATCTATCTATCTATCTATCTATCTATCTATCTATCTATCTATTAAAATTAGTTAAGGGATGATACGAGTAATTTTAAAAGATCATAAGCATAAAAATAAATGAATTTCAAAAACTCCCTTTTCAGAGAAATAGATATATATTTTTGATTTATTTCAATGATTTTAACAATACAGAAACAATTTTTTTACACCATTCGATTCATTAATTAAAATAATGAAAAGTTGGTTTCGAAATGTTTTTTAACTTCATGGTTTTTAAAAATTACTCATATCATCCTCTAACTTCTAACCTCCCTAAGGTTTACCCCACACGTACGATTTTGTTTTATGTTAATATGTTGAATAATGTACGACTACGGCTAGCAGGCGCAAAATGTTAAGTAGCTTAGGATCTAAACGATGAAAATATATATTTTTTTTTATTGTAGATAATTGTGCTGGTTAATCTACCGTGATGGAATATTTTATACATATATATTTTTCCAAAAATTAAAAAAACGGTGACGTATAAAACTAGGGTGACGTATGAAACCTTACCAAAACTGCAAAAATGAATATACTTGAATTTTGCAAATTGCTTTTGGTTTCTGCATATTTACACTATATGTGTACCAAATTTCAAGTGTCAGCAAAGCTTCGAACAAATTTGGCAAAGTTTCGAGTTTCAGATGGCGATGAATGTATAACACCTTATAGAACAAAAAGTTTTGCTCTCCTGATTTTCGGCTTTAGCGTCATTATTGTATATATATTGAACTATAGTTTTCGAAAGTTTTATCACTTTTTGTTTATAATTGACATTTTTACAGCAACTTAAAAAAATTGGCGTTTTATACCGTTTTTTCAATCTTGGCTTTGTTATTGCAAATTTCGTAATCGGACCACCGCCATTTTGTAGCTATTTTTATTACGAACAAAATCATGTCCTAAGCATTTTTTCGTACAAAGTCATCCCGCTGAGTTATTTAAAGAAAACTACTAAAAAAATTTTTTTTTCACTATTAAATTGTTAATAATTTTTTTTTCCTGATAAGATACTTTGTCAGCAAATTAGCCTGTTATCGTACTCCTCATTTATAGTGTTCCTGTGTAGTTATTTCCGAGTTATCAAGAAAATGTCACCAGCAGTAACTTTTCGGCCTCTGCCGACTGGAGTATAAAGAGTACCAGAAAGCGCAGCAAGCGTGTAACTAAAAGTTAATTTAGTAAAACTGATTTTTTTACGAGATTTGTTTATACTGTTATCTCGCATTTTGTGTTAGTAGGTTTATTACATTACAAAGTTAGAAATTTAAAAAATTTCATAATAGGTACTTGAGTAGGATTTCCGTAACTTAGATACCTAACACGGCTTTTTTTATTTGTACAATAACAGTTGTTTCATTTTTGTGAGTCGAATTGAAAGTTATATATTAAATATAAAAATGAGGCTTGCAATTTAAAAAATTGTTCTGAAAATATTTTAAATGCCGCTCAAGAAGCATCTTTAAAATCCAAGGAAAAATAGGAGAAAGTTTATGATATACTTTTTTTAACTGTTTTTAATTAACATTACTATACAATAAGGTGACTTTTTCATGTGGTAAAGTGCCACTTTAATAAACGATTTTGATTTAGTAAACTAGCATATTATAAAATATATTTTGAATACTCATGTGATCAGATCGGTCTATTTTGCATTAGTTCAATCACTACTATTATATGATATCGTTGGCTGGGGTGAACAATCAAACCACTGGAAATAATTTAAAAAAATACTGAAATAGCTTTCAATCGTTCTTACAGATATTATTACTATTATCCATTTCTACATAGTTTTCCAATATTTTTCTACAAAAGACAACTCTTTTTTGAAAAACTCTGAATTAAATAAGTTGTTTAAATAGAAAAATAAAACAAAATGAACTTTTAAAAGCTGTAACTTGCAAACAATTGACAATTCGAAAAAAAATGTTCATTACATACTGCTATTACTTTAATCTGTAGAATCACCTCCCGGAGTTTCCTGACGGACTTTCAGAACACCCTGTATAGTTTAAAATATTTGGCTAAGTAGACTTGCATTCATTCGTTTTTCTGTTTTCTGAGACACCTGATAAATTTCGATGCTCGTTCGACTTTTCACAAATTATGAAATCACCTAACCAAATACTTTTAATTTACATAATCGACAAATAATTCCACCTCCAACGCAACTTAAAAGTCATCAATAAATGGCGTCCGACTAACCCTCAGGGGCGTAATCGGACGTGGAATAATTTGCGGCGCCGAGGCCGGTTACTCACCAGAGGTCACCCCGAGCGCTGCGCCCCAAAACAAAAGAAGAAGCATGGTGCGCGCGGCAGCCGCTGGCCTCACCACTCTATAAATCCAGCCGGTCCTGAAAACAAAGAAACACCATTTTAAAACAATGCCGCAACAGGAACGTAATGGATTTTATTACGGAGCTCACGGTTCCGTGGGTGCATGTGTAACGTAAGGGCATAAAGGATTTTATTTACATATATAGGCCGGATTACTATGTAGGGACATCAAAGGAAATGTTATAGTGGGGAACGGGATGGGAACACTTGAATTTATTGTGTGTGTATGTGTGTGTGTGGCTGAAATGCCTTTGCATTAACGGAAATTTCTGTACAAACCAGATCTAAATCTCTGCGGTATTCTGGTGAGCTAAACCCCCAATTTTGTATTCTCTGTACACACTTTGCAGTGTGATAATGATGTAAACAGGAGTTCAGTGGGTATTGCAGCTTTCTCAATTAACCATTTTATTATTTATTTGCTTCATAAATTTTATATCAAATTATTTCAGATATAGTCTAATTATTTATTTATGACATTTATTTTTTACTTTTTTTTATTTCATTGTTCACATGAAATTATTTAATTTGTTTATAAGGCCATAACTTGTAAACTATTCATCTTACCGATTGCAGATTTCGTGTGGGTTATTAGACAGTGATAAGGAATGAGAGGATGCGATGCCAAAACGTTCTGGTAATAATAACGCAGTTTATAAATGTTTAATTCAAAAGTCATAAATAAACTTCTTTTGTTTATAATTTTTGATCTAATCAATATTTTTTGATGCTCGAGGGCTAGTTTTGTAGGTCTTTTGAAGACGAAAAAAAATGCTTTACTATTTTCTCGTGGAAACTAACGGAAAAAAGTTATAAGCGAAAAATGTGAATTTACGTAAAAATTATACAACTAATATGTTATATAATATAATAATGATATGTTACATAATATTTAACATATATAGTGATAAATTCCGATTGTCGAAACAAAAAGTCGCGTCCAACTCTATATTTCCTGGACTAAAGTATCACTGAGAAAATCATGTTCGATAGACTAAACCTCTCCTATCTTCATGTACATTGTGCTGATGAATAGAATTTGGTATCACAATTGCGCCATAAGGTCAGTATTTTTCTCTAACCCCCTAAAGTATGTAGAAAGAGCAAAAAATGGGGCTTATTTTTTTTAGCTGACCACTTTAAGTTACTATGTATACTCAAATACGTATTATTCTAAACATATAGGTTAGAATTTCAACTTAACCTTGCAAACTCGCGTGAAAGTATTCGACAGGTTCAAATTGTACGGAAACTGGAATAAGATACCTACTTCTCTAGTACGATCGCTCATTTTTTAAAAAGCTCAAAAGAACTGAAGAGTTCAACTTTAACACCTGAATTTATCAATGAATAAATCCATGACCATTTCTAGTCTCAAAATATAAGGATAATCGAATTTTCCTGTATATCGATTCGCCTAAGCCCTTAAAATAAATATTTAGGAATTATCATGCCAAGAACATAGGTCGGTCATCAGTTCCAGTCAACGATAATAATCCAAAAATGGGTAAAATTCGGAAAGACCAACTGTCCTAACCTAAGACGGACTTCGCTAAGGGACCTCTGCGGACTTATCAAAGACCGTGATTGAGCGTCTACCCTGATGCCTTGCTGTTCATTAACCAGCGAGGGATCTTGGCCAGTACATATTATTATGTACACTCCAAATTCTCATACACGTTTTATATACAAATGTTATATAAATGCTATTTATTGTAAATTAATACTAAAATTTTCAATAAATAAAATAATCTTATCTAAAAAATAACATTCGAATTAAATTTCTCTAGGATAAATTAAATGAGCTCATAGTTCCCTAACTGTATAGCACACTACCACCCTCCGGAGAAGACCCTGAGGCATACAACTCTTAAATATAACTCTTAAAGGTACCATACACAGTTCCTAAAGCTGCCATGCACAAGCCCTCAAAAGAGACAAATCAAATTAAGGTTCTAAACACTCTAAGGAGGTCTCACGCTCCACAGAAGCTTCTAAAGTTTTCATACAAGCATTCTAAGGAGGCCACACACACACAAACTTTAGTGCGCAGCTCAGCAATCAAAGACAGTGATAAAATACACTAGAGTACTAGACTTGTCTGTGTTCCATATAGCAAAGTCTCGCCAAAAACATAAGTGCACACTTCAAAGAATATACGTCGCTTCCGATGAAAGTCGGCCAGTGCGACTTCTGTACCCGCAAGCATCTATTGAGGTTGGCATGATGAGGGAGGCGTCCGAGTATCCAGTTTGCCCCTTTAACGACAAGCAGGAGAAGTAGTCCCAGCACCGCAAGCAATACATGGGGATCTCGATAAAAATGCACCATATTAAGAGGATATTCCTCATATTAGTATATTTCCGAGAAAAAGATGGTGAAAGACGACATGGCGCCCAACGTGGGACCCGAACGTCCGAAATCTCAAGGGGAATTTGGTGAAAAACGGCATATGCTTCAGTAAATAGATACGCAATTAAAAAATAGATACATGCTAAAAAGTCATGTTGCTTTATTAAAAAAGTGGTAAAATATTTCGTTTTCACTATTTTTTTTGCTTCAGAACGTCAATGTGAAGTCAAATTAACGACGGAATTCGCTCTACAAAGGACGTACATATATCCCCAGGTAACACCGCCGACTGAGGTCTTTGCCGACTTTTTCACGGAAAACTATCCAGTGCCACTAAAAGCCCGCCGTGCGATTGCCGCGCAATTGCGGCTAACCGGTCAATTAAGAGAGACCGCAATTTGAGGTGCGCTGACAAGGACTTTTTCCGGCAACAATGAAGCAACTCGTGCGGCGATATTGTTTCGGAACGCGCTCCCGGCTTATCTGGGTCCTGCCTTGTGAAGACGCTTTGGCTTTTCAGCCTTTCAACTCGTCACAATGGACGGCCCGCTACGAATCGGCCCAGCTCTTCACAAAGCTAGTTATGTGTGTAGAAATCAATTACCTGACGTTTTATCTACGTTCCGCACGTCGGGGTTTTGCCGGTGAAATTTCGGATTCCGTCGAACAACCAACTGAGCAATTTCGTATTAGGATGATTTTACTTCGTAGAGAATCAAGGAATAAAATGAATATGTAAAGTTGGTGCAGCCTCTTCACCACTTGTACCACAATTCCATTGAACAAATAATCAGAGATAGTGACACAACTTAAGAAAAAAATGAATCTATACAATATCTTCACTGATCATGGGTAGTTCAAAAGGAGACTATAAACAAATGGCAAAATTGAAGAAACTGTATTAGTAATTTTTTTTTTTTAAATCTGAGTACATACGCTAGTGAATTAAACGCCCCTTAAAACGAACCTGCACCAAATTTCACTAAACAATACTGCATATAAATTATTCTACGATCAAATTACCAATCGTGCTAACTTAAAAATTTGCCTCTTCATCTAGTAACCCATGAAATAAAAAGTAAAACGCAATGACTTTGTTTAATAAAATTATTTAATGGGCATGGGCATAAAAAAACCAGAAAGAAACAGAAAACTTACAAAAACAATTAGATTTTTGTTCTTTCTACCAGTCCTCCATTAATTTAAATACATTTATCGTATATATTTCCTATGTTACTCTCCTAAGTTGTTCAGGAATAATATTTACAGGCTGTTTCAAACTCGATAGATGAGGATAGAAAACATTTAAATAAAATTTGGAACATGTAGTGTTAAAGCTTATTAAAATATATTTTACGATTTTACGATATTAATACCCTAATACCAAAGGTAGTTTAAAAACTTACACTTACTTCTATCAGCAGGTGGTTGATGCACGTCGCTTAACTATAGTTAAGTTAATATCGTAGAATAAACATATAGGTTAGAATCATATATAGCATTAACTAATTTTGCTCTTACTGTTTGTATCATGCAATAATTATATAATGCCTAAAGAATGCATTGGAAAAACATGTTTTCAAATAGTTTTTATCGCCATTTGTAATAGATGTGTATAAGTGGTATCACTAAATCTACATCAAATCTATAATTTTTAGTTCTGAATGTGTTGTATATAGGTGTTCTGATAAAGGATTGTAACCCACAAGTTTAATTAATTTATTATATTATTATAGTTCTCTGTCTGTAATATTTGTATCGACATTGTGAGATAAGGATTACATTATAAATCGTAGGCAGAATTACGTATTATCTATTAGAATAGCTTAAGCTTGATATCAACAGATTATAATGCATCGTTCATGAAATTAGAATAGTCTTGTTAAATGTATTTAATGAATAGTTTTGTTTTGTCATTTGTCTACAATGTAAATGTATTATTAACATACTTTTTTTACAAATTTACAGCTGGAATTTCATAAGGACATTACAAAAAATTGACCAGAAAAACATAATGGGGAGAGCATTAAAACATGCCTTGGCATGCAAATGAGAGACTATAAAAAGAGACCGGATCAACTGCCCAAAAGGAATAATTATACATATAATACAAATAATAACTTAGTGGTGTATATAACTTTGTTTATATTCTGTAATAAAGAAGTTGTTTATATGTATCATAGAAAGAGTTGATTATAATATATGTATATATACATGTGAAATTTGCTTTTTAAGTTTATATTTATAATGTGCAATGAATAAAAAAATACATTTTAATTTTATTTTTTTTATTCAAGAACTCAGTTTAAAAATACGTGCTGTTGAAGTTTATATTTTATTCTCATGAAGTACTTTAGGTATTATTTGTTCAGTTTACAAAAAAAAATACCTCAAACCAGTTTTATGATTAATATGAACCATTGATGTGTATATCTAAATAATTTGGATATATTTCTGAAAACTTGTATGTAGTCTTAAGCAGAAAAATATCTGCCAGTGGCTATGTTACAAAATTTTGTCGTCAGATTTTAGTAAGTGGGTGAGTAAAATGTTTAAAAAATGCATACATGGTATCAACGATGGGATACTTCTTGTAGGAAAATGTTAAAATGCCTTTAAATCTCATGAAAAGAGA